AAAAATATACATTATAAATCTAGTTAGCATTATAAATCTAGTTATTAAAAATGTGTGAGATTGTTGAAGATAGCGAAATTTCTTTGAAAAATGAGAAAAATATAGATTATCCTTTCCCAAAATTCAAAAAATACTTTAATCTTGAAGAAAAAATTACTACTGGATATCGGTTTCAATGCAAGAAAATTTTGCCAACCACAGAGTCTATGCTAAAAGGCATTGAGAAAAGGTCAAAACTTATTTTTATTTTCTATTACACAATTATATATTTATTGCTTGATTAGCCATAATTTAAATTGGCTTAATTTACAACACAATCTATAATAATATATAATATTAATATTAATATAAAATTCAAAATTAATATATTAATAATTACCTTGTGTATAATAATTATATTTTTAAAATCTTTATTTACCATAATTTAATGCTATTTTAATATTTTTTTATAAATGAATCTAAATCTCAGATAAATTTAAATTTTGAAAATTAAAAAGGTATTCTTCTTATTTTATAATTAATACAATCGCTTTATATAAATTAGATTTCCAAATCTGTATGATGATGATAATGTAATAGCTGCTATCGTTCATCCTAGTTTCAAGTTAAATTGGCCATATATTAATTTGACTGAATCTAAAGGGCAACTTGCTAGGCTGATGGTAACGTTAAAAAATGTCATGCCTAACCACGATATAATACTATAGAAAGATGGAAACCGCGGCCTTCCATAGATGATTTTTTTAAAATAATAATATTATTGAACCTCTAGATGCTTTTTTTAAATCTAAAAATACTCATTTAAATATCTTTGATGATTTTTTTCATATAAAAAGTGTGTTTATTAAATTTAATACTGCGTTGCCCTCAAGTGCTAGTGCTGAACGATTATTTAGTATGGCAAAGCTTATATTTTCTGATCGTCGCTCTAGACTTGAGGATGACAGTACCGAAATGTTATTATTATTAAAGTGCAATATTAAATAAATTATATATATATATATATATGTAACAAATTATAGTCATGTTTTTATACCAATATTTTATTTGTGGAAATAAAGTTATGTAAAAAATATTTTAAAAAAAAATCAAAATCGCGTAAAAAGTATAGCGCGCTACTTTTAAAATTAGCGTTTAACAACACTGATTATAACCAAACGATTAATTTAATTTAGCAATTGTAATTAAATAATTTGATATGTAAAAAATTCTAATATAAAAAAATTATCTGCCAAAAATTTAGTGAAAATTAAATATCATTCCTAAAAAGAATTATCAAAAATGCAGAGTTGTTAAAGTAGACCGCTAATTAGCGCCCTAACTTTTTTGGTAGCTATAGCTAATAGCGGCTACTTTTTTTGTAATAATTTAATTTTTTAGCGCGCTACTTTTTTTGAAAGTAGCTAAGCACTACTTTTAAAAAATATAATGAAGGTAAGTATAAACATAAAAATTTAAATATAATATCATAATTAATTATAATTATATTATTTATTATTTAATTTAAAAAAAAAAAATTTAAAATTAAAATATAATTTCAATTTGTAATTTATATTTTCATTTGTATTATAAACCTAAATCACGTGTTAATAATTTAAAATGTCATGGCCTATGGATATCCAAATCGTTGAAAGTGATTCAGACAATGATATTAATGAAATGGAAGATACCAAGGGAAGAAAATGTTTTTAATAGCTATAATACAAATTCCCCATTCCCTAGATTTGAAAATTTTTTTAAATAAATATATAACCAAAACTGGTTTCAAATTTATTTGTTTAAAATGTAAAAAAAAATATTTTCCCAAATCAATCCAGTAGCTATAACCTCAAGAAACACCTAAAGGTAAATTGTCATTTTTACATTCTAATAATATTTATTTTATAAGACTGTTCATGAGTTTTAAGGAAATGGAAAATAATTTTGGTATAGGCGACTCTACATCCAAAAAGACTAATTCAATTCAAACCAAATTAATTAATAATCCAAATGACAATATTTCTCAGAAATTGGCTGATAAAATTATTGTTGATTTTATAATTAATACAGTTCAGCCAATGTCCTTAGTTGATAATCCATCATTTACCATGATGATTAAAACTCTATCCCCCTGGTACAACAATTTTATGCCCCCAGACACTAATGAATAAAATACCAGATAACTTTAAAACGATGAAAGATGATCTAATAGTAGAGTTATCAGAGATATCTGTCCTATCTTCAGGATAATTAGATATAATCATAGTTTATAAATACATATCTTATATTATAACACGTCAATTATAATCACGTGATGTTTTTTTTATATAACATAGGAAAAGGATATTAATAAATAATTAAGTTTTGAATAAAAAAATTACGAAAACGCAGTTTTAATTAATTTTATAGATATGACATTTTGAAGATTTTATTTTGTGTGGAAAGTATTGATAAAGAAATCATTCGTGTAATTTTAGTGTGTTTAATTAATTATATATTATAGCTATGAAGAAAAAATTTCCTAAATCTTGGAAGGACAATTCAATGGCTGGCCATGACTGGTATTTAGGATTTATGTCAAGAAATCCTACTCTCTCCTTAAGATCCCCTGAAGCTACAAGTATGGCTAGGGCAACTGGATTAATGAAGAAAATGTTCTATACTTTTTTTATTTATATAAAAGTTTATTAAATGATTTGTTAAATAAATGTTTACATTTAATATTTAGGAATATTAGATGAACATAAATTAGAATGTATGGCAATTTACAACATGGATGAAACTGGACTTACCACAGTTCAAACCCCATCCGAGATTATTGCACAAAAGGGTCAAAAACAGGTAGTATCTATTACTTCCGCAGAAAGGAGTACCTTAATAACATTAGCGCTTACTGTAAATGCAATTGGTCATACAATTCCTACAATGTTTCTTTTTCCCAGAAAAAAATATTATGACTATTTTGTTAGAGATGGTCCATCTGGCTCTATAGGGGTATCAAATGGTTCTGGATGTATGCAAGAGGAGGATTTTATTATTTTTTTGAAGCACTTTTCTAAACACACTCGGTGTACTCCAAAGTCCAAAGTTTTATTAATCCTTGACAATCATATATCACACCACTCCTATTCAGCTGTCAAATTTTGTATAGATACGGGAATAATTCTATTATCTTTGCCACCCATTGCACCCATAAATTACAGCATCTTGATCGGTCTGTTTTTGGGCCTCTCAAAAAATATTACAATAATGCACTTCATAAATTATTTACAATTTATGATATTCCATCAGTTATTAAGGATGTCTTGCCTTTAGCAGCATCACCTCTCAATATTGTGGAATATATCCACTGAATACAGATATATTCAATAAAGAAGATTATGTAGCCTCAGTTTATGGAGATTCTATATGTGAACTTCCAAAAAACCCATTATTAGAATCAAGCTCAGTATCTTTGGTATTAAAAGATATTTTAAATACTAACAGAAACTTAGATATATGTAATGATACTCCATCTACGTCTTATGTTCATTTAGATAATATTCCTGGACCATCGTGCAATTTATCAATATCCTTGCCTCATCCCAAAAAGGAAAGAGTCAAGAGAGTTAAAAGGAGAGCTTAGATATTTACATCATCTCCTTATAAAAAGAAATTAATTGAGAAAGAAAAGAAAATAATGGAAAAAGAAAATATTAACAAGAGAAAAATAGTGAAAAAAATTATTCACAAAGATATTTGTGTTTGTTGTAAGCTGGAATATATCAAACATCATAATGGTGAAGAGTGGTACCAGTGCAGAATGTGCCACGAATGGGCACATGGTACATGTCCTAATTTTGATAAATTTTTTATATGTCCAAAATGTGTATTAAATTAACCAAAATTAAGTTTCAATTTTTATATATAATAAGCTTCAATTTATATGTATTATGATATTTTTAACAATAAAAGAATAAAATTATAGTATATGTATCATTATTAATAAATAAAAATATATTTCAATTTATTATGGCCTAAAAAAACCATTGGTTTAGGAAGCCCCTTGAAGTGGTTTGCCTCACCCCGCTATTGGGGCTTGTTGGGCAAATTTACGACTTTTACAAAAAATAAAATTTCAAAAAAATGATTATATTCTAGAATTTTTTTATAAGGCACCTTTATAGAGTATAGTTTTAGGTATCTAATCATATATTGCTTTTTATATTATCTAAAAAAACCCAGGAGCTATAAATAATTTTGTAAAAATCGGTTCACCTAACCCCAGTCTCCCCTACTTCATAAATATCAACCTTCTTAAGTTGGAAAGTCCTTTCATTCGTACATGTTATAATAGGCAAACATGGTAGAATATAAAACAACTTCAAAATATTAGTAATTTGAGTCAAGGTTTCTTTACACCGATTGAGCGCATCAATAGCATGCTCAGGTAAAATAGCTAAACGTAGTAGGGGAGACTGGGGTTAGGTGAACCGATTTTTACAAAATTAACTTAAAATGATATTTATGAAAACAATCAAATTTGCCATGGGGGATTTCCCCTTCCCCCCTATTGGTTATGCAAATGTGATCAGAGCAAAGGAAAAGATATTCTCATTGTTCAACAGTTATCGATGAACATCGTTCAGATATGCTCTTTGTGATGAGGCGTTATATCTTTCATAAAGTCTAAATTGTTTTAAACCATATCATGAATAATAAATCATAAATATGTTTATATGGACAGTGGTATAGCAAATGTCCCACTTTAATTTTTTTAATATATTATGAAATATTTTTTATTTTTAAAAATAAAATTATAACAAAATTATATGAGATTTTTGCTATACATTTTCATTATTTTAAATAAAAAAATTATCTTGCAGAATTGGATTTTTTAGTCATAAATTTCTGTGCATGAAAGGGTTAAAAGACTATAAAGAAACGGGTTCTAAAATGGAACAAAAATTTTTATTCTGGTCTCTGGGTCACTGTTCATATTTTATAGCTCAATTTTTTTTATTACACTAAACTAATAAAAGGCTAAAACCGCTCAAAAACGTTTGATCGACTCTATTAAGCTCATGGAAGAAAGGCATTGCCTCGTCAAGGAAAAGGTTTTTTCATTTTAAATATTATCCTATTCACAATATGATGTTTGATTTAAATTTGACATAAACATTTCTTTAAATTTGACAATAATTTTTATATTTAAAAAGAATATAAATATGATAATATAAATCTAATTTAAAAAGTTTATAATTATAATAATAAACAAAAAAACAAATTATAACATTAATAAATGAAAAATTTTACAAAAAAAACGAATCCATGCCATTTCTATGACGGAAGTTTAAAAATAGAAAATTGCCGATTCAAGAATGCAACATGTTTCAAGTGCAGCAGAATCGGCCACATTGCTCGTTTATGTAGGAAAGAGACAATTAATTTTTTTAGATCATGCAACAAAAGTTATAATTCAGAATTTTGGGTAGATGTGAAATAAATTATTATAGATGGAATTGGATACATAAGCTAGGATAAATATAATAAATGAACTAGATTGGATAGAAACTAAATCATTCTTTGTTAACAACTTACATGTGAAAAATAAAAGGTATAGGGTATGAATCAATTAATTAACGCTACTTTTCAAAAGTAACATGCTATATCTACGACTCTAAAATAGTAGCGGCGGTACTGACTACCTACTTTAGCATGTCTATTTTAGTAGCTACCTTAATTATGTCGAAAAAATTTCCCTATAAAATATTGCAGCCCCAATTATATATTTTTTCTATAATTGTAAATAAAATCTTTATTAAAATTTGAAATATAATAACACATAATAAAGATTTTTATAATAAAATATTATATAATTTTAATTGATAAATTTTGTAGCTTTTTGAACAATTTCTTAAAGTTTGCATCTAGGAACGAACATCTTTTTTCACCAAAAATATTCTTTGCTGGACTAAATAATCTCTAAACTGGAGAACAATATTGGATAGAGAGAAGTATTGTATTTTATGAAGAGTGTTTTTTAAAGATGGAACTCTTTAAACACTGTGAAATCTGATATGAATGCAAAAAATTTTAATCAATAATATTTATATCATTATTTTTACTATCCTCTATACAAGCACCATATCCCACAAACGTAAACCAATTACAGTTTTTTTTAGGTTTGGCAACGTACTCATCAAAATTCATTTCAAATTTTTCCATACATGGCTAAACCATGATACAAATTATTAGAAAAGGCAGTAAATTGTAGATGAACATGGGACAAAGAAGAAGAGACCGATTGCATTTGCGTTAGGAATGTTAAATGAGATTATAGTCAAATAGGGAGAAAAGCCCTCGCCATCATATTTTGAAATACCAAATTCATAGAATTTATATATAAGTAAAAGTTCACGTTATTAACAAATCGCAAGCTACCGATAAGTTTATTTCAGCCGAGGAAAGATGTACCCACAACATCCACTGCCAAATTGCAGAATGGGCTTTGCCGTCCTATTAGAGGTATGAAAATGAAATAGGATCAAAATCAAAATAGCAGACAGAATGTAACATCTCGATTGCCAATGCAAGGAAATAAAATTTCAAAATATGAAAATCTCGATTTAATACAAACGATTGAAAATGCGAACGAAATCGAAAAAGGGCAGTTTAATAAACTCGCTATAGCCCAGTCTAAAAGAAAAAAGGGAGAAAATTAAAACAGAGGTTGTCTATTGCGGAAAACAAAAATGTTACCACAAGAATACCGAAATAGCGTGTTAGATATAACATACGGTGATGGTAAAAATGAAAATGCTAACAAGGTAATACCTGTGATTGCCTAATATAAACAAGATATAGAGACATGGGTGGAAAAATGTAGCAAATGCAACCAAGGACTTCAATTCATGGCTGGCCAACACTACCATAGGCATGGCACTAATGGCACATTGATTATATTAAACCTTTTCAAAATCATATCATTATTTTTTATATTTTTGTTTAAAAAATTTAATATTCACTTTAACCTTTTTTTCTGAAGATTCTTTCATTATCCTTCCTTCTTTCATTCTTTTTACCATTAATTTTGATTGTTGTATTCATTGATTAGGAACTTTCTCTCAACTCCTCAAATATCAACACCGCTATTACCTATATCGGCATAGTCTGTGGGTACCTTTTCAAGCGCACTACCGGGAAATTTAAATCTTGGAACCGACGCTGGTTCCTCATCAAAGATAACCAGCTTGTTTATTGCAGGCGAACGGAAAATCATCCCCAATCTACTGTTACCCCTAACCATTTTTCTCATGGCAATTCTAATAGTGAAAGCAATGATTACGATAAAACGGGCGGAAGGAATAACGAGATCGAGAATTCTAATTGGCATCAATCGAGCTACAAGGTAATGGAACCGGATTTAAGACTTTGTTCGGTCAAGCCCGCGACCGACCTCGTGGATAGACGTTTTTGTTTTGAAGTTATATCGCCTCTCAAGTTATATAGTTTATTCATTCAAGACATTTTTAGGGGGGAAGGAAAGGAGAAGAAAAGAAAAACTGGAAAAAAACAATAGAAACCATAAACTAATTATTTTAGCTATTCTTATTGTTTTTTTTTCTTCAAGTAATTTAATTTATTAAAAAGTTTCAAATTATTTGTTAACTGACGTTGGTCAGGTCCTTAAAAATGAATCTAGATAGATAAAGATTCTTTATAAAAAATTTATCTATTCTTTCTGCCAAGTATTATAAAGTTAATAAATAAGGAAGTCAAGATAATCCATTGGTTAACAAAGAATCAATATCATCGCTTTTCAACCCAACTCCCAACAATAATAGATGAAATGGAGAGATTTGTAATCAATCAGCAGATGTATATAGAGAAATACCATGTATATGTTGTTTGTTTCAACGAGTTGAAAGATAAATTCCTAATAAATTTCATCACTATGATTTATTTCCCCAACTATCCAAAAATTTTTCATTTTTTTTTAAAATTTTCGGAAACATTAGCAAACACGATATTTCGACGACTATAATAATATATTCTTACGATATTTTATATAAATATTTAACAACTAGAGACATCACTATAAAATAAATTTTTGAAAATACAATAGACAGACATTACAAATATTATTTATTTTATACCAATTATTGTGAAAGGACAAAATATTCACGATATAAATTCCACCCTTTAAAATAAGATATGATGATTATTTTCTACAATAATTAATATAAACATGGACATAGTCACAAAATTGAATTATTTAATATACAATAGTAAGGTTTGTATGCCTAAATATATTAATATTAGTTGAAACATAAAGATAGGAAAGAAAAACAACAAAGTTAACTCAAGAATGAAAAATCATCAAAAGTAAATATTTAATTTTTTAAACACAAATATAAAAGTATCTGTATTATTTGTCAGATACAAGATTCTTTTGAAAATAAAATAGTATCTTAGATATCTATAAAAATTTCAAGAAGAATAGAGCGCAAGATACAAAAATCTTATATATTAGATACAAGAATTCGCGGTACTTTCCAACTCGGCTAACTAATATATATTCTTATTTAAAGTCAATTAAAAATTTCCATTTTATTTGAACCATCAAACATGTAATCTTCATTTATTTTATTTCTCCTATATTCCTCTCTAAGATTTTGTTTTTTAGTTATTATAATTTAAATAAATTAAAAAATTTTAATGAATTTTTTAATGTAATCAATATCCTTTTCAAACTATTTAGTGTTTTTTTTAACTTAATTCATTCATAAATTCCACTGATCTTCCAGCCCAATTTTACTACCCTCAAAATTTCATTCATTCAATATGTTTCTTAAAATCCTCTCTCACTAAATTCATAATATGCGAGATAAGTAGACTTAAATAAATACATTTATATACAAAAATAATAATACCCAAGGAGTCATATATTGCAAGCCGATTCAGAATCCCTCTGCCAATTTTGGATAAGCGCTCTTCAATCTGGAATTAGCAGTGCCTACGTATAATATATTCATAATTATTATATTATAACAACTCAGATAACTTTATATGGATTTGCTAAGCATCTATAATTTTTTTTATCCATCGTATTTGAAATAAGCCATTTTCCAATTAATCAAAAATCTAAGGAGACTATTTGATTCTCTCTGTAAAGTTGTCACATTTGCATATTTATTTTTTCCCCTAATATTTAAAAAAGGAAGGTGTTAGAGGCAAAATGTCCAATGTCCATGCATATGGCTATTGGAGTAAAAATAAAGTTCTCCAATGTTTTGTATTTGCTTATCTTTTTTATTTTGGCTTGAGCGAGACAGTGCGTAGACAGAACGCCCTTCCCCCCTCCCCCCTTCCCATAAAAAAATAAAAATTTTATTAATTTATCAAATTGATAATATAAATGCCTAAAATATAAAAAACAACTATTTTTATGTTTTTAATTTATAAATAATAATTTGTTCAGTATTTGATTTTTTAATATTTTTTTAAATAAATTTTGAATTATCTTGCAAAAAACTTCTCTAGTTTGTCAATTTCATTATGAAGAAACAATCAATAATTTATTCTTATTTCAACAAATGTTAAGCACAGATATGCCACAATTTGACCATCTTTTTATGCCGCTATTAAATATAAAAGTATTAAAGCTACCTCACATTAAGTCTCATAGTTTAAAAGATGATAGGATATTTTTTAATGATAATAAGAGTAAAACTTATTTTAGATATTTCGTTTACTTAATTTTTTAATTGCTTTTTGTGCTTCTAGTATCTTCGTTTTATCTTGTTTAATGAGATTAAAATTACTTCATTTATTAAACAAACTGAAAAGAAAAAATAATATCTATGAAATTCATAGAATCATAAGATTCAAAAATATCTTCGGGGAAAGAAAAATCTTTTCAGACGAAATGATTTTTGAATCATTTAAAATCCGATATTTAAGATTGAACCTAAGACGTGCCGTAATTTTTATTTCGCTTATTACTAGTTTTTATTTATTAGCTGAAAAAACTGATCGACGAACTAATGAAATGAGTACTAATAATGCATTATAATTTTCCTTCTAGCATGATGCCAATTTTGGCTATTTTTAATTTTTATCAAAAATTATTCTCAGCAAATTAACTATTAGACAGAAATAAAATTTACTAATTAAGCTCTACTTAATGGTTTAGTATAAGTTTCTAAATTAGTGTTTAAAAAGCTTGGCTCACTTTACGCTTAAAGCTTGATGTCATAGTTTTCATTTTGTTTATAACTATTTCTTTTTGTGGTTCTCATATTAATCATTAATCGAAAGTACTAGCCAGGCATTAAATATTAGCGTACTCCAGATATGTAATTTTTTATATTTTCAATTTTAGCACGATATTTATTTTGGCAATTTTCCTTTTTCTTTATACTGTCTACCAAACGGATTAAATTAATATACAATTAGACTCTAAACATTGATAAAATTTACAGAATAAATGCTTTCAGTCACTTTTTAATCTTAAGGTTGGCCAAAATCTTGTTACCAATAATTTTTTCCTTTATACCGGTTAAAGTCAGGTACTGATAAAGTACAAAACATTGTCATATTTTAGAATTAGGGCTTGTTCAGCTAACTTAAAGACCACCTAAAATCAATAATATATATATGATTTTTTTTAGGGACACTGCCGAAGGCCGAGTAAAATGGGAGTTGGGGGCGAAGCCTCTCCAAATTTTTTTAAACCCACCCCGCCCCCTCCATTGGAAAATCCTGGCTACACCACTGAGTGAGTGTTGCTTGCTCTTGATAAGGTGGTAACATTGGTTGAATCCCGGATGAGAAGGATAGTTGTGAGGCCATCATCGAAGGTTGCAAGGTTCTAAAATATTAGGGATATCTGCTTTTTTTAGGGAATAGACTGAAAAGCTTATTGATGAATGGCGCTGTTGACTTAGTTAATACAATTTAATCCATGTCTATCCTTACCCTTAATGTTAACTAGTAAGTTACAATTCAGGCAACTATGAGATTGAACTATGTGGCATTCGAATCTATGACGTAGGGTAACTAATATCTGTTCATTAGTTTATAGATTCCGTTTTTTCTAGGCAAAGCTTTCAACCATTCATGTCCGTCTAATCATTATTTTGAAAGAGTTGGATGTCTTTAAGGAGGGAAGATATGGATAAAATGGTGTAAGTCTTTGAAATTATTGGTAAAAACATATTTTGTGATTTATTATATCGGGAAAAGCTGTATCTGTTAAATGTGGTGTTTATTGAAATAAATTAAAATTGAGAAAAATATAAAAAAAGATCCTTTTACAATACTATGTTTATATCAATGACATATATAATACCTAGACTGACGATTCATTCATTAAAAGTGTACATCAATGCAAATCAGCTGGAGACGCCATCTTGGTTACACTAATCATTATTAAAATTTTAAACGAGAGCCTAATTTATTCCTATATCTGATGCAAACTTTTTTAAAAATTACCGGATAATCGAGATAATAAGGAAGCAAGTTATCAATTTATTAGTAGTTTTTAACATGAGAATAATTACTATATGTGTTACCAATATGGCGGGTCCAGCTGATTTGCTTTTAACGACGCTTAAAAATGCATTTTAATGAATGAATCGTCAGTCTAGGTATTATATATGTCATTGGTTTATATATCGAAAGTACATTTGCGATAATCAAATTGTATCCTCAAACCAAAATAACAATATACAATTTATTTAGAGTTAATACATTACAGTTCTCCCTACTACAAATTAAATTCGTCATGATAACGTAGTGGGGGCTTCGAAACTCTTTATTTTAAAGGTTGTATTTTCATTATATTCTGCATTGTCCAAAACTTCAGTCATTGTTAAGGGTGCTTTAGCTTGTACATGAGCATCCTTTAGTTGGTCGGCATGCTTATTTTTTACAATACCCTCAGACGCAACTTGATAGTTTCCACTAAGCTAACGTCGTCCTGAGCGGCCTTCCAAACATCGTTTCGGCAGGGGTTTACCGGTAGTCGCATTTAAAATATTTCGAGTAATTAAAATATTCGCTAAATTCAACTGGTCCGGAGTTCCACATCTCCTTCCAGCATAGAAACGCGTCTTTATCTTGCTTATATAGCGCAGCCAAACCATTCGATTTTTGGCTAAGGGGTCGGTCTAAAATGTTTTATGTTGTTTTTAAAAAGAAACGTTTTGAATTCAGATCCAGTAAACTGAGTACTGTTATCTGAAAAAATGTAACGAGGTAACCCAAATCTAGTGAAATAATTACGCAGATTATTTATTGCACTCGTCGAATTAATATGTGGTGAAATTGCAACTTCAACCCATTTGGTGAAGGCGTCTACGCAAATTAACCTATATTTTCCAGATACGGGGCCTCTCAAATCTATATGTATTCTTCCCAAGGTCGGGTAAGAATGTTCCTATTGTATAATGACACTTCTCTGGCTCCCGGTCTTCCTTCCTGACAACTCTTGCAGCATTTAACGAAATCATAAACATCACGATCAAGATTTGATCAAAAAACATATTGTCTACATCATGATTTCAACTATCTTAGGATGTCCTTGATGAATAACATTAAAAACCTCCTTCTTTAGATTATCAGGGATAATAACCCTATCATTATAAAATAATAATCCTTTTTCAAACGAAATATTATCTTTAATTATAATAAATTTTTTTAAAATCTACGAATAATTATTAATTATCAATATACCAATGATTTTTAATTAATTTAATAATCTCTTTTAGATTGGTATCATTGCTCCTTTGCTGCGAGTGAAAGATAAATCTTCTATTAAATTAATTTTTAATTCTCTGATTTCATCTTCGATTTTTTTCATAACTTCATTGGTTTTTGTTCTCCCTACCCCCAAACAGGACAGAGCGTCGGCACATTTGTTTTGAATACCAGGTCTATGAATTATTTTATAATCATTTAATAGCTTCGTCGTCCACCATATTAAACGGTTATTTGTTATTTTATTTAAGTCTCTTTTATCTAAGATATATTTTTAAAGGTTTATGATCCGTTACCAAAATAAATGTCTTCCATAAATATTTTGATCAAACTTCTCTGGCGAACATGATCGCCGAAGCCTAACCATCAATGGTGGCATAATTCTTTTCAGCCGCCCAAAGTGTCTTCGATGCTTAAGAAATCGGTTTCTTCTGGCCATTAAGAAATAGGTGTGCAATAACAGCTCCTAGACCATCTTCGGAAGCGTCAAAAGAAATCACTACAGAAATATCGGCTGAAAGAGGAATTATTGTATCATCTTTTGATTATATATTTTAAGTTTATTAAATATTTTATATTCTTGAGCTGACCAAAACCAACTAACATTTTTACTCATTAGTAGGTGTAAAGGCGCACAAATAGAATATAAATTTTGTATAGAAACGATCTTTAACATTTGACGGTGTTTTACAATTTCTTATGTTTGTAATCTTATCTTCTGTGCGGTGAATTCCGAATTCGTCAATAACTTGACCCAAATAAGTAACTGACTTTTCTCCAATTTTAATTTCATCGGACGTCGTTGCTAGTCCAGCCTTATTAAATCTTCCTAATACTTCTTATAGATTAACTATATGATCAATTATTCTCGCCCGCAATTATTACGTCTTCTAAAAATACACTAACAATAGGAATTCCTTTTAATAGGTTTTGCATAAAGCGTTGAAATATTATTGGAGCGCTAGTCATCCCAAAAGGGATTCTTAGGTAAATAACCAACATGAGTCGAAATCACTAAAAGGTCCCTAATTCTGTACTAGCTCCGAATTGTAAAAATGCATCTCTTAAATCTATTGTCGAAATATTTTATAACCTGCCATCCTATTTGTCAGGTCGACGAAAGTTGGTACTAAATCGTTATCTATCGCTAAATATTTGTTATTGTTAAACGAAAATCTCCGCATATCCGCACGGCACCAGATTTATTTAAGATGATAACTGTTGGCTTAGGTGATTGGAACTGTTGTTGGATCTACCTTTTCAATTTCTAAAAGTCTGTCCAACTCAGCTTCAATGGTTTCGACGCGGAAATGAACTCTTCTTGCTGGTAAAGTTATCGGTAATGCGTTTTTGTATGTGGTTAACTGCTTGTTGGAGTTTAATTTCTCCTAATTTTTTTTAAAAAAACTTGTGGAAATTTCGATGCAATTGTATTTAAAGTTTGAACATTTATATTTATTTTATTTATCCGAACTTCTTATTTGCAAATTAAATAGAGACTCTTATCTGATGGAAGGATATTTAGTCCAAGCTGAATATGTTGTCAAATATTTTGACTAGAGATTCTTCAAATGATGTTTGATAAAGTGTTAATAAATTCAATGGTTTTGTAACCAGATAAAACTACTTTATTATAAGAAAACAAATTTCTGTCTTCGTTTTGTTTAGGATTAGACCTATGTTTTTTGAATTGGGTTTAAGAAAGTTCAAAACTTCGAATACTTTAGAAAAAGAACCACAAATTGTTCCATCGTCAAGGTACCAAATATTTAAATGAAATTTAGATTTAAGATCATGAGTGAGGTCATGAGTACCAAGACTGAATAAGAGAGCTTCAAGTGGTTTCCCTGTTGAATGCCTTCATTGAAGTCTTTTATATTTGTGCTGAATAAGAGGGAGTTATAATGTCTTAACACTTTTTTAAAATTTAGAGTAATCGGGGAATTTTTTATAGAAACATTTTAAAAAATGATTATGAAACAAAGCTGTTAAAAGCATTTTTGAAATCCAATTTGACAATTACACTATTGGGAGGAAGATCTTGTAGGTAAATTCGTACTGTATGTGATTTTATTTCGCATCCTCCTTTTATCCCAAAAACATATTTAAATTTAAGAATATAAAATTTTATTTAAAAGTTAAAATCATAAATATTAAATTATGTTATGAATTTTATTTATCCCTTAATAACATTATGGGTTTCTTTCATCGCCCTTAATTTTGTGTCATTTTTTAAAATCTTATAATGAGCGAATAAAATTACTTTTTATAAAATAAAATGGATTGCAAACAAAACTGTTTTTTAACACTTTTCTTTTCCTGTTAACTTTTCATTCAGTGACCTTTGATTTCATTAAAATAATATAATATTAACTGTACATTTAAGTTAATTCTATATTTTGCATGCATTTTTAGAACGAGCAATACCATGTCGAAGGTTCTGATTCATCGAAAATAGGGCCTTCTGCTTCTAGCTTAGATGCTTCTGAGATTAAAAATAACCAGCAATTTTCGAACGAATCCCTTGAATATTACCCCGGAAAAAAGGATCGTTTCAACGTGGAAAACTCTGGCCTTTGGCAAGCAGATACTTTCGATATCGATGTTGGTGCCATTTACGATTCGCGAAATTCGATATTAGAACGGGATCGAATTTATACTATGTAATATAATTATGGATTATTCCAAATAAATTAGTTGATGAATTTGAAATTTATATCTCAATATTGCCTTCCTTTTAAATCTGGGCAAAAAAATAAGGATGGATCATAAATCTTTTAATTGATTTAAATATTGTTCTATCTATTCCTTTTTTATAGCGATTTTATGATATTTTAGAAATCAACAAATTATTTAAAGATGATATAAAATAGAATAGAATGATTCATATTTACAAGATAAAGTTTTAATAAGTTATGTTAAAAAATAATAATTCAAACTTTAACACCCCTTTTTCTAATTATACCACATTTCGGCAGAGTGACTTTGGTACAAAAAAAATTTAGCGCGCGACCTCTAAAAAATGTAATTTTGATTAAATAATAAAATAAATAAAAAATAAGCGGTGAATCAAGTTTAAGGACAATCAAGGTTAGTGGTGTTGGACTCAGGGTTATGAGTAAAAAATAACTTAAGCATTCAATACTTAAGTAGTGTTTATAAGAATCATTCCAGAGTTTGATGCAACTAATCAATATTTATCAATGAATTAATATTTTTAGCCATCCCATATATAGCATATTAGACTTGGGCACCGATGAATATATGGGCAGCGGAGGCATTTTGTTAAAAAACAGCCGTTTATATCGATGGCAGCGCACCGAAATTTCTTACCTTGAAAATTTATTTTTATTAATTTTTTGCATAAAAACTAAAATAATAATTTATTTGAAATAACTTTTTCCAAATAAAATTTATTAATATAAAAATATTAGAAATTTAACAATTTTTATATTTAACATGTAAAAATTATTTTGTTTGAATTTGAGCGCATAATTAAGAATTTCCTGAATTTAAAGTAAACAGCGACTGAAAAAACACTCTTACTGGGTATGCTTATAGCCGGGGCACAATATTTTTTTGGCTATAAGTGGAAGTATTTAAGAAAGATTTAAATTTATTTTTTCAAAAGTCTAGAACTATCTACCGGTGAAGATATCAGAAAATAATAAGTAATTTTTGTTCCTCTTTCAGTTTATCTTTTTTATCTGATTGGAATGAATGTTTATCCACTAATTTTTATATAAATTAGTTTCAGACGAAACATATCTCGCATTTTACTTGTTCCATAGCTTTAGGGCAACAATTCTCTCACATAATAACGTAAATATTGAGCAGGAGTGCAACTTTTTTTAAAATAATTACACGTTATTTAACTTGAAAAATAGTCTGATAGTGAGGTCAATGCCATGTAAAATATAAACTATATAAATAATAATACTAATATCTAAATATCCGTTATTGGAAATCTATAACCCAATTTAAAATTCTATTCCAATATCTTCGGTAACATTAATACCTAGCCCTAAGCATCTCATATATGCTAAAAGCATTGGGGGAGGGAAGCAAAGTTGTTTTTTTGTTAATTTCTTTTATATTATTACTACAATCCTTGTGGAAAATGAATATTTTAATGTAAATTTTTCAATAATACAATTATCTAAATATAATCTGCCAATATTATTTGGAAATTAGGGCTAGGAAACAATATTATAAACCAGGGTTTCGAACCGTTAAGTATAGGGTTCGGTTTCTTCCGATTTAAAATTTTCCTGTTTTTATAGATTTGATTTTTTTTATTTTTGAAAAAAAATAATCATATAATTTAATGAAAATAATAAAAATAATTTAATGCAGTTTTAGTTAACTTATTTAAAATGAAGATTTATTGAAAGATTTTTTATTATTTTAAGATTAAAAAAACAGATCTTAGAGAATATTGGAATTATACTTAAATTAAAAGCAAGTATTATTATAAAAACATATTAATCATTAATATATATAAAAATAAACTTGTTATTTAACTAAAAATAGTTTTGTTTGATAACTGTTTTAAGATTATTTCTTATCAAATTAATTAGGAATTTGCCTAATATCTATTAAATTGAGTATATAAAGTAAAAACAATAAACTTGCTACTGATTGATATGAAGATAAGCGATTTAATTGTTTAAAAATTTTTTAATTGAAAATCACGAATTTAAATTGTCCCCAAGGAAAATTATAAAATTTAGGTTAATATAATTCATTATTTTTTAAAACCATTATGAACCTGTTTAAAATATTTATATCAATTCGGTTCGCTTATATTTCCTTTATAACGGTTCGGTACAAAAAATGGATATATGGAAAAATAATTATGTGTTTAAAAGGTTAATGATGCTTCGGTTCGCTTATATTTCTTTATAACGGTTCGGTATAAAAAATGGATATATGGAAAAATAATTATATGTTTAAAATCGGTTAATGATGCTTACCCCCTAGTAAATGTATGGAAATATTCTAAATACCAACCTAATTTGCTAAATACCGACCAAAATTTATTAAAATGTAATATAACCCATTATTTAATATATTATTACGGAATTACGTGGTCGAGTCCGGCCTCCTATATATTATCCCCCCAAGAATGGAACCACCAAGTAGATTAAATATAAAAACATGACCATTCCCGGGATTCGAACCCAGGACCATGGGATCAGTAAGCCAAGCTCTTGCCTACTAGGCCATAGAGGCTTTCCATAAATCACGATTTTTCAAATATATATTATAAATATATTTGGTAGTGCCTATCCAAATGAAAAATAAATAAAATTCAAATTTGATAGGTAGTACCTTAAGGTAGTAAGCATCATTAACCTTTAAAATCCATCGTGCATATCAATTTTTTTAGGCTAAGGGAGGATTGGATAGTAAATTCATCTAGTTTATTCCCATTTTCTGCAATAACTATCCAGAATATACCAGATTCATTTTTCATACCTACTCCGAGCCCACATATTTAAAATTCTATGCCAAAATTACTCTTTCTTGATATAACAAGATGACCCATTGAGTACCATTATTTTGCCTTGATGTTAAACATTAATACATTCGATACAAGTTATCAACTACGTCTGGTATTTAGATGATTCCTTCACGGTGGCATCTCTTTAACAAAGACAATTCCGGACATTATTAATAATCTTATGTTCATTAAAGGTTTCTTTAACATGTCATAGTCTGAATTTTCTCTCACCAACTAGGAATTTACTCGTTTTGGTTCTCCAATTAGTGGTTTCACTACAATTAAGACCTCTTTAGACAATACCTATTCTAATGTAGTAGAAAGAAATACAACAAATTTTAAATGAATTACCAGCCCATCAGGTGTTCTTTCTAAAATTATTTTAACATACACATATTTTTAATTTATATATATATGCTCTATATTTTTTTAATCGTTAATTGTTTTTTATGACCTTTGTTTTAAATTAGTTTTTTAATAGTAAAATTAATAAACTAAAAAAAATATACTGCTTACTAAGTTTTTTTATAAACATTTAAAATAAAATGGGCCGAAATGTCGTGATACGCTTTTCTTAATTTCGCACTTTAATTTCTAAAATGAAATAATATTGCACAAATTTTTATTGATTCATTTAAACCTTCTAGAATACTTTGAATAATTGAAACAAAATTTTTTTTATCGATCATTTTTATAAAGTAAATTCTTGATAATTAGAAATGTTTAAATTATAATAATAAAACAGGTACTCTTCAGGTCCAGGCCAGAAATAATTTTGTCCAACATATCCAATTAACAATTTTCTGATCCAAATGAAAATAATATTTGATTGAATGGTACAATTTTTTAATGAAGGTGGAAATTTTACCTATATCTTAGTTCAGCCCGACCGAGTTTGAGAAAATATCTGAGTTATCTAAGATAGGGCTCGGGCAGGTCTGTGCAAGGCTCTTTTATATGGTGATATAATGTTTTAGCTGCCAAGATAGTAACAAAATAAATTAGCCCACCCCTTATGAATAAGATAATCCAGATACCTTTTATTATTATAAATAATGTTTTACCGGGAAAATATCTTGATAACCTCCATAATTTATAACAAATTTTTGTACTGTTCATTTTTGTTAAACTTTTTTAGACAGGATATATTAAATTTACCTGGTAACTCTAAATGCTGTGACTGCGATGCCTCGAATCCAGAATGGGCTAGTATTAACATTGGAATTACCCTCTGCATTGAATGTTCAGGAATTCATAGGTTTATATAGACTAAATCCCAATTTAATCAACATACATATACTACCTTAAATCATATTAGAACGCCGGACTAAAAAAAATCCACATTACTTCAATTTTTTAATATTTATATGGTATAATAAATTATTTTAATTTTTATTAATATTATCTAAAATAATATGATATGATGCATCAAAAAGGTAGTATTCAAATCAAAATGAATGCCATTAACTTTCGAGAAATCAAAATAGTCATCATTTCAGCTCTAGTATCTGGTTATTTTTTTAAAGTTTCCGCTCTAATATCTGGTTATTTCTTTAAAGCTAATGACATGCTTATTTTTTTTAGGCAGTTCAAATAAAGATTTTACACTTTTTTTAAAAGGTTTCCTTCAAGGTACTTGACTCTATTCATCAAATCGCATCTATTTTTAGATCTATATTTGCATATATATTTTTTTAATAGCTCAGACATTTTTATTGAATTAAAATCTGGGCAGATGCACAGTAAAGCCAAACCATTGCCTGATGAAAAATTTTGTCGATTTTAATGTATGACATGGCACCATTTCTCGTTAAAATATAAAATCCCCTAGCGAAAACCATACATTTGTCAAGTCAATGGGCTCTGTAGATAAATGTCTCTATGTTTGGAGAAAAATATATATAATTTCTTTAGCAAAACACCTGTTTAGACTTTTTCCTCTCATACGAACCAAAACATATCACATGTTGGATATTTGAATCAATATCTCTTTCAAACATCTCAAATTTTGTTGGGGTGAACACTTTTCACTGAGAACTGTCAGTTTAAGTATTTTTTGATCAATATATATATGATACGTGAATAGTTTCACTATTGTTGATTAATATTTGGCATAGGATCCCATCTTATAAAATTTTGGGTTTTTTATTACAAGTGGATAACCGCTCTTTAAACAAAGTGTAAGTGAAACCAGGGCTATTTCCATGAGGTAAATCCTGAGAACCTTCATATTTAAAAAATATTTGTCTTTGAGACTTGAAATATATAAAAAATTAATTTGTAAAAAATATCAGCTTCTAAACTGGAAAATTTTAATGTAAAAAACCCCTTTTAATAACTAAAAATTAAAAAAAAGTTTGCTAAATTTTTTTTGTTTAAGATTAGTTTCTTTAAATTCCACACATTAAAATTGATACTGTGAACGATTTTGAACCCTTAACAAATATAAAATAAAATTTCAAAGATTTTGAACAGGGATTTATTTATTACTGATCACTTATATAGATTATCTCCGGGGATATGTCCTTCACTATAATTTATTCATTCATTTTTTATAATTTTATTTAATATATTAAAAAAAATAATCATAAATGTATTACAAAAATAGATACTTTGCCCTCATGCATTTTGAAAATTTTGATATAATCTTTATTATGTGATTATTTTTCTTTTTATACTTTGGCATTTTGAAAAAATGAATGAATAATGAAAACATTTATAGTGTTCGCCCGGAGGTAGTATATACATAAATACGATTGGTATTAAATAAGTTCTTATTAAAAATCTTTGAAATTTTATTTTAATTTTCTCAAAATGTCCGAAAGTTAAATTTTTACATATCAATTTTTTTATATAAACCCCCTTTAGTTATAAATTTTAAGTCAAATTTTCAAATACCAAGGCTGCCCGGATTTACCCCATGTCTGAAATTAGCCCAGTCTCCCCTAATTAGAATATTTTCTTCCCTTACTTATTTCTCTTAGTGAAAGCGTTTTTTTATTTTAGTTCTTAAAAAATCACTTCTCAAATTCTAGTTAATCAGTGAATGTTTATAGCAGAAGAAAGTAACTAATTTTTTTAAAAAAAATTTTCTTATAATATTAATCTTCCATCTTATTGCAAACAATTATAAATAATCTATAAAAAGAAAACATTGTATGTTATTCTAACTCATTTTCTTAAAAATAGGTGCATGCGCCAAAGAAAAAATTTATTTTATTGCCTGTTTATTTTTTAAAATCGAATGTTTTTAAATGGCATTGAGCTGATCCTATTATTCTCGATATCGGTTCCAATCCGACTCCATTATATCGGACAGCTCTAATATAGTGATTATATCTTGTTAATAAATTAATGATAAAAGTTATAAAATTTTTCTTTTTTCTGTATGATAAGATAATAAATTATTTTTATGAAAAATAACTTAATGAGAAATGTAAAAATATATGGAGATTAAAATTCATTTGTTTGATTTCCTTTATAATTTATAGAAGTTTAGGAGTGCACAAATCAAAGGTTCGGTCCATATATTTAGATGTTTGGGATCGCGATCACCTTAAAATTATGGTGAATTTGGGAAATTTGGTTATAAATTCAGTATATTCTTATTCAACTGCCCTTGGTGACAAAAATTACGAAACGAATTCGATAAACATAAACAAGAATACTTCTAGGTATAACACTTGCGTAAAATACCACTTATTTATTATTATCAACTTTTTGTTTCAATTTTTATAACTTGATAGATTAAAAACAAGGAAGAGAGATAAAATAGATAAATTTATATTTTATTTTCTTAAATTCTTTTTTTATAAAAACGTTTTAAAATTTTTATTTTCTTTATTATTAAAAATATATGCTACAATTTGACAAAATTCTATTCTATATATTATATTTCATTTAATTAGATATGTACAAAAATTAAACTATATACAAGTAATAAAAGAACAAATTATTTTTAAGGTTAAATATTAAAGTAAGAAAAAGAACAAATTATTTTAAGGTTAAACATTAAAGTAAGAAAAGAAAAATTTGTTTTAATGTTAAACAAAATCATTTTAAAACAAGTTAAAATGACCTTAATATAAAAATATAAAAGTTTTTTTTATATTTAACATAGATAAATCTAATTAAGAAAATGGAATGCCATAATTTAACAGATTTTATTGCTAATTAATTAGGCTTATAGATCGGTATTTAAATTTAACAAATGGAGGTAAATTTTAAACAAAGGAACCAAATAATTAAGAATATAGGGATTCAGAATTATATTATTAAGGTAAGGAGGTTAAATAATATAGAATAATTCAAGAAAGGGAGTATGCTATCTAATATTCAGGATTGATAAAAAAAGTAACTCATTTAGATTAAATAAATTAATAGAGCGCAGAATATTTGTAAGAGATTTTGAAATTAGATTTTATTGTAAAATAATATAAATTTAATTACATTATATTTAATTTTTGGGTACCCCAGTTTCAAGTCCAGTTCAAGTATACATTACATTTTTTAATTTTCCAGCCAAGTTTAGATTTTCTTATTTTAGGCCCAGCCCGCATTTTAAGAATTTATTCTAAATAATTTTCTAAATATTTTCAAAGGGAAATAAAAAATGTCGGGATTTTAAGCATAGAAATTTTTACCTTAGCCGGGCTATGGCACGGGCTTGCAGATATACTGATAATTTTTATTTATTATCTATCAACATTGTGATAAAAAGAATATTAGTATTAAAACTATTATATATTTATATTATTTTGTCTTTTATTACAAGGGAAGATCGAGAAACATTTATCAGATCCAAATATATCCAAAAAAAATGGATGGATCCTAACAACCTCATAACATTTCTTTCTCCTGCGTATACACGCCTGTTGAACAATCATCCAGATTCAGTAAACCAACAGCTCTCCACCAATAGTAACATAGAATCAGGAACAGCTAAAATTGATCCCATAAAGTCCAAAATTGATCTTTTTGAGAATTTTACCAATGGAATTGGAGTGAATATTGCTGAAATCGGGCACGCACTGATGTTGCAAGGGTTGCTGTCTTTTGCTAACGAAAGCAATTGTAGTAACGAAGAAACTTCCCCTTGGTTGCTTAATGACACTAAATTGGATTTTAAGAGTGTAGCGAGTGCATTATCTCTAGGCTGCTTTCCTAATAAAAAATTTCTTTTCGATGTTCGCCTTTTGCCCGCTTTTCATACTTCACGTTTTGACTATTTAGTTAAGGAATTTTTTTAATCGACATTTATCAATGTTTTATTTTAAAATAGGGTTTTTGATTTGATAAAATAATTATATATTTTTAATAAAATAATTTAACCGATTTTTATGTATTTTTTTCAAAAGGATTTTTTGTAAATCTAACTTATTTTTTCCTTGAACCTGGACCCATACGGGTTCGGTCGGGCTCAAAAATTAAAATGCATCAATATATTAGGATTTTGGATAGAATTGAGGTTCTGTGATTAACCGATTTTTATATTTTATCTACAATAATATAATTACAAATATTTCATCAGAATCTACTCTGGGCTTGGGTTATAGATTGCTATCATTAAGGTAACTTCTTTCAAAGATATTAGAATCTTAATTTAGGTTTAAAAAGAGCAATGTATCAACAGACATTTTTTAATATTTAATATATTAGTTAGGATTCATATTTTTGATCATTTATTGAATTATTACAATTCAAATTTATGCAGTGAATAAATTTTTTTTATGGAATTCGGTTTCTTTCAACATCAAGTTTGAAAAATATCTAAAATTCCGGTCAAAAACCTGGATATAAGTATTGGATGAAAGAATTGGCGTAGCCAAGATTTTTACATAGAGGGGTTTAAAAAATTTTTTGGAGGCTTCGTCCCCAAACTCCCTTTCCTCCCACCTTCAACTGAGTACCTAAATAATATTATATATATTAATTTTTCAGTAGATATCTTTATATCATCTTTGTTATTTGTTAAAGTTGGCTGAACAATTGGAAATACTAATTCTAAAATTTACAATATTTTGTGCTTTATTAGTGTCTAATCACTTAAGTAGCCAGCATAAATGAAAAAATATTATTAACAAAATTTTGGCCAAATTTATGATTAATAGGCGACTGTAAACATTATTCTAAATATTTTATCAATGTTTAGTGTTCAATTGTAAATTAATTCAATCCATTCGGTGTAGAAAAAAAAATTCGCCCTCAAACCTCCCATTTTTTATGATCACTCAATTTCTATGTTAAAAATAATTATTTTAATTAATTTTTGCATATAACAAAATTTTACAGAGAATTTCAATATATTTTATTTTTTATTAAATTAGTATAAATAAAATCCTATTAACTGTATTTAAAAAAATATATTACAAAATATGAGTAAATCTTGTTGCACATAACAGTATTTAAAAAAATATAATTTAACAATTATAATTAATGCAAATGATTATAATATCAAAATATAAAATAACTCTTATTGCAAATGCAATGCTTTTAAAATAGTATAATATAAAAAAATATATAATTAGGAACATATAATCATATTGCAATTTTATGATTTGAATTTATAAAACTTTTCTCTGAGATTTGGCTAATCTAGAATCAAATTTTTATTTAGAATAATCTCCTTATAAATATTTAATAGGGCTAATCCATTTAAACGCTTTTACCTGTGCTATTTCTTAAATGAGTTTTTAACCTTTTCAAAAAACTGACCTTTCATTAGTGCAGGTACTAATCGGTAAGGTAGCTAAAATAAAAAAATAATGTTTTGATATCAGGGGGAATATGTGCAATTACACATGGAAAAGGCCTGCAAATATTTTGGTCTCAAAGAGTACTCTATTGTGTCAAGATTTTTATACCAAAATTCGACATCAAAATCTTACTATCCTGATATACCATCAGAGTAAGACTCTGAGATTTTCTTAATATCCTCTCGCGTTTCAAGTGTTATCTACAATTCAGACTCAACCGTCAAAAAAAAATAAAAGCTTGTTATTTATCTTTACCAAATACGATTTTTCTTATAATTATAAAAATTTTTTAAAACTATCTAATTTGTTTAACAATATAAATTATATTATTAAATTTATAATTGCTTTTCAATTAATATCCTTCATGATATGCAGATCATATTTTTTCTCCATCCTCGGCTCTACTATGCCAGAAAATATTTACAATATATCTTTATAGACGCCACTGGTTGAATGATATTGCAATTTGTGTCCGTATTCCTCATGAGAAATAATATAAACAACAAAGGATATTAACAACATTTTAAAAATCTTACCTATGTCTGATTGATTTTTCCAATGCGTGTGTATACAATTTTTGTCAACAAGGACTTATTCGATGATTATTTGCAATATTTTTATTATACGCTTGGATTATAGATGGGGAATAGTTCAGTTATTAGTCGCTTTCCTCTAAGCTGTAGCCTACAAAAATATCAATAGCTATTAGCTAATGTCCAGAGTCATTTTGAATAGCTCCGTCAAATAGTTTATTAGGTTTTTTTTAAAATCAGTAAGCCACCCATATGTATGTAATCCATTAGTCGTCTATATTTTAATTTTATATAAAATAAAAAAATATTTTTCTTTAATTTTTCTCATTTTCTTTTATTTCATCTTTTTTATAGTCATTGGGGATATGGCTCACTGATTTTAAAAATTTTTATTATCCAGAGCTATTTAAAATTAACTATAGCTAAGTCTTTCATAATCAGACTACCTACAGCTAATACCTATGGTTATTTTTGTTAGATATAAGTTGAAATCTCTATTATGAACGATATTTTTTCTGAGCGCGTCGAATAAACTATAACGGCATTATGCCATGCCATCTTTTTTAAATCTATTTTATTAATTAAACCCCTAATATAACATACATTTGCATAAATAGAATATAATACCAATTTTCCTGAACACAAACCTGATATTAAAAACGAGTTCAACGCCCTGCTCTTCTTATTTATAATTAATTATATTTTTTATATTTATAGTTTGACAATCTAAAGGCTTTTTTGGCCAAATTCAATACTACCAAATTGGGTGAAACTACAAATTCTTTCGTTAGCGACTTCACACCTTTGCATTTCGCCTCTTTAATAGTTAATTTTTTAAATAAATTTAGTTTTGTTTTAAAAAAATTGATATATTCTGATTTTAAATTCAAATGGATAATGTTTCTATATACATAATATATATTTTTTTAAACACATTATTTTATTATTTGTGAAATTTAATCTTGAAGGAATAAGATAATTTAATTTAAATATATTCATAAAATGATGTTTCTAAATAATAATCTATTTGCTATTTAACACTTTATTAATCATTGTCTATTTTTATATCATATAATTATATTGTTATAATAATGATTTAAGGGTAATGCGAGTCTTGTCGAATACTTTCTGCTTAATTGCAGTACCATACAAGATGTTAAAGAAGCTAAGTATCAATTCACTCCTCTTCATTTAGCCACCATAAATGGGCATACGAAGTAAAATAATTTTCGTTATAATAAGGCAATACATTTTATTGGAAACCTGTAGCTAATCTCTGAGATAAAAAAATTATGTTAATTCTTGTTTTAGTCTATTGCAGAGACATAAAACATTGTCTATTTATCGTTCTATCATTTGCTTTAAAAAAAAGTTCCGATAATAATATTTTAAAGAGTTTTCCGAGTTCCAGATCTCGAAGAATAATTTAGCTTAATTAAATTTCAAATAACTTTAATTTAAAAAAAAACAGCGAATCCAAAAATGGAATAAATAAATTATATTGGTAAAAATAAATTAATTATTTTAAATACTTTTTATTTTTTATAATTATATTATAAATAAAAAAATTTTAAATCATGTTCTTTTTCTCTAAAATTTGACGCGTTCTAAAGTCCCCTCTGATCTATTGATTAGATTCATATGGAGATTAATGTTTATCAAATTAGAATCCTGATCCTTTCATTTTCTCTACTTAGATAGTCTAGCAAACAAAATATTATAATGAAATGGACGTTGTTGGTATTTGAAAATGTAATTGAATATTTATTTTAAATGTTTGATACTTGGTAATTAGCAAACTCTCTTTAAAGGTATTATCTTTATATTCATTATAGATAAATAAATTTAAGAAAATTATTAAAAAATTAAGTGTCGTATGCCGACTTATCAAGCGAGGAGCCGATATTGAAGCCAAAAATAAGAACGGGCTTGACTCTTTAACGTTAGCCATAGCCTCTCAAAATGCTGATATAGTTACTTTGTATGTGCAAAGATTTTTTTTACATTTAATTTTTAAAAGTTTATCAAAAATTTAACCTATATGTAAGTTAATAGATTAAAATACTTCGAGTAATAATTATTTGAAAGTACAAGCAGCAGGAGATTTTTAATACGTTGAATCCTTTCTTTATTTTAACTTATTGGTAACTAATAATGATGGTAATTGTTAATTTATATTTATAAAAAATTTCCTTGATATTACAATTATTTGGAGAAATATCATATTTTTAACCATATCTAGAGCACAATATTAACTTTATTAACTACTTTTAAACAAATTTTATTATCCACAAAAATTTAATGTTCAAAAATTTCCTGTGAAATTTAGAAATTAAAAAAGGAACAAAAAAAAGTATTTCAGGAAAACAAAAAATAAATATATTTATAGCTGTTTTAGTCACATCGTGTTCATTTTCAGAAACAATAGTGACTTTTTTCACAGTGCCTTTTTTAGTTAAAAAGAGATGAAGATACTGAAAGCAAATCGCGTATTTTTAGATTTTGAATCGTTAATAGATTTCCAAGAACACGATGGTTTAGGACATATCTTGCATTCTAGGTATTCTCGTTTGTCAATAATTGAAAGTTTTTCCAATAAAATCTAAATGAAAATTGTAAAATATATTATCAATTTACAATCCAAAATCGCTATCCTTGTAGATGAATCTACAACTTGCCAGCTTATGTAAAATCGATACCAGGTCCTCTTTTGTTGTTTAACATATTTTTATATTTCTAGACCTGATCCAGAAGGGACTTCCCCTACTGAATATTTTTAAATCCCCTAGGTTTTTTTAAAAATGGCTTTCCTTTGATATCTTTGTAGCCAGTGTCATGATTGGGAGAAATCTGGTGTAGCACCGTGCCTTTTCACATTATATCTAACAATCATATCCAGGCATTTAATAAATCATCGTTTAGAATTAGCGCTCTCTAAATGCAAAAAAAAGTGTCATAGTCGTTAATCACTTTAAAGCCTTAATTGACACAATATAAGGTTTATTTATATAGCCATTCTAACAAAGTTGGATCAACAAATAGCATCTAAATGGGGCTTTCGGTTGCTTAAGATTGGAATGGTACTTGATATACAATGGTGTCTAGCAGTCTTCATAATGTTAAGGCTGTTTGAAATAAATATGAGGCCCTGTATACGCATTTCAAAAATTAAGCAAATTCTATCAACAGTGCAAAATTTAACGGACTCTCCGCCCTATATTGTGGAGGGGTGTTAGATCTTGCCTTAATGTATGATGTTCTATTTGAATTATTTAATCTGTCTTTAAGGCTTCAGGCAAGATGAATTAGTTTACCTAAAGCTGAAAAATCAATAGAGCGAACGATTCTTTTTCTAAAGTCGTTTAAGGATATGTCTGGTAGGTTTTAAATCTTTCTTATAATTTCTAAATGAATGTTTAGTTAATATTTCTAAAGGAGAACATATGAAAAAGAAACTAAGGCAATAAATAAACTTGGATTAGTAATATTGAAAAGGACCAGAAGGCACTCTGGATCAACGAAAATCTATTCATTACTGCCTTAATAAGAAATGCAAAATAATTTAATGGATGCTAATTCCAATAATTCTTGTAATTAAAAATACTAAATTATATTACATAGTTTTATCTTTTTAGCTTTCTTATCTGATATGGAATATTTATAAAAGATATTTGTCCATCAGACATTCACATTCATTAAGTGGAAGAGCAAATTAAATGACTTTGTCACTGAAGCTTTATGTGGATCTCGCAATAAATATGATGAGGGAATATATTGATGATAATAAAGTAATAAATGCCCCCGAAGAGTTTCAAAATTGTATTAACACAATTCCAGATAATATTGCCGAATGTGAGCGCGGCTTTCATCTTATAAATGTCATTATGACAGATTTTCATGCAATTCTTATGATAAAACATATTTCCAGTTTAATTATGATAAACGTTAATGGGCCTTCTCTCAATTGGAAATCTTCTCCAAATAATAAAATGTGGTTGACAAGTCACAGGTCTGCAAACGATAACCTCCTATTAAGGAAACATGCGAATATTATAAAAATATTTAAAATAATTAACCATGGCGAATATTATAGTTTCTTTTAGACTTTTTTTTTATCTATTCCGATTTATACATTATATTATACTAATAAAATTATTTTTATATAATTATGAAATGCATTCTATAAAATTACCTTACTTTTTATGTAACATATTTTTTGCAATATTTTTCAATTTTTATATAACTTTTTAAATAGCTATTTATAAAATGTGGATATAATGTATTTTATATAAAATGCTTCTATGTAAACTAATTTAAAATTTTTTTTAAGTTGTCTCAAATTCTTGGATAAACGAAAATTCGCCTATTTTTTGCCCATTTTAGCGTCGCCCTAATTTTTTTTAGAGGAATAGCTTGCCCCCGCCGTAAATTTTAGGACTACAACACTGGTTACAAGTCAATACCTTAAAAACTAGCACGAAATGCATTATCGCGAAAATATTAAAGCTGCTTATCGCGAATGAATTACCTAGCTGCAATACCTCGAATGTAGTTTGGTGAAAATTGCATTTTTATATTTATCAGGGTTTAACATTTGCTCAATAATCAGATCAAAATCTTTTTTGATCAAATCTTTTGTGATTTTTTTTAAATATAATCGTTGAGGTAAAATCTTTTATTATTTTATTTTTTGAATAATTTAGCTGTAAATGTGACAATTATTATAATACACATTTTATATTTTTAATATTTGGAATAAATAAAAATGATTATTTTAAAAATGTTTTGGCATAGTATAATTTTAATGTAAACTAGAAAAGTGACAATTGTTATAATATTCATTTTAGAAATTTTAAAATAATTTTAGTTAAAATAGGCTGGAATAAATATTTTTAGCATGTTTCTAGATAGTTAAGCCTGTAGAGATGACAATTGTCATAATACTCATTTTGAGCCACCCTGTATTTATACATTTCATTGTATTGTACCAATATAAATATCCATAAAAAATAAATTTTAATTATATCAGTAAATATAAATACTTCAAATAGGTTGGGTCTTTAGTTCTTTGAAAAAAATTTGAACTTGCTAAATGAGTTAGAATATAGCAGTAGAGAATTTAAAGATTTTCTTAGAGAAAAAGGTGGAAAAAATTACGGGGCCGGCACTCTTAATGGTAACAAAATTATAGTTTCGAAATATTAAAAAAATAAAAATATATTAATTGACGAACTCCTTATTATAAAGTGGAAAAAATATACAAGTAGCAAAGGGATTTTAATACTTTATATTAATTATATTAACCATTTGTCAAATATAAATCACTATTGCATTCGCCATGATGCATTTTCTATAATGCAGGCGTGATAATGTGCTTTAACATATTCTCTTTAATGCATTCTCGATAGTGCATTCTCAATAATAAATTCGCGGTGATGTTTCGCTAAGATATTTTTTCGCGATAATCAACATTCGCAATAATGCAGTTCGCACATTGACATATGGACTAAAAAAAGCCCTATAACATACCTCCCTCTATAAATTAAGTCTTTACTAGATATTTCTACATATTTTTAGTTAAATTAAAACATTTAAAAATCGTTTATACCGTAGTTATTGTAAGAAAGAAAATTTTAACGGTATTCATGAAATTCAGTCGGATTAAAATGTATTAGCTTGCGATTGAAGGAAAAGAATTGAATAAAAATAATTACGACGATTGCTACAGGATGCGCGGTGTGTAAATTGTCCCATATTTGATATTTCACGCCATATATTGCCATATAAGTCATGTAAGGTATTTTTATCAAACACATAGTGTTTTTTAAATATTTATTACCAAAGGACACGGTTTTTGAAAAGAGTCATATGTGTTTGAAAAAGGACACTATGATTAAAAAGCTATATATATACTCTTTTTTAAGTGTAAAGCTGGCCCTTCCTCTTATATAAATTTATACAGATTAATCAGGTGGTATAAAGAATTTTAAAATTGTGAAATTTAGCATACTTTTGGTGTAAACTCCTAGCCAACATTGGACCTTTTCTAATATCTAATATATACTTAATCAACTAGCCACCATTATCACTTGACCGTAGACTATTATTATTATATAAGTATAAATAATTTTTGGTATTAGGATTTAGTACCGATTAGTTCATTTTGTAGCACTAATCATTAGTCACCATGAATATAAGAGGTTTAATTTGTTTAGAAAATATTTTTTAATTTTTTTGTTTTCCCCGGGCCCTTATAGATTGCGTGTTGGTAAATTAAGACTAGAAACGGATAATATGACATCAGGTTCGTTATTTTTTTCTCCATATCATTAATTTAATATGTTCTAATTCACTCATAATTTTCTAATCTAATATTTTAATGTTATAGTTATTTTGAAAATTCTCTCCACATCCCTATTTTTTAAAAGAAATTAATTAAAATAGACAAAATGCAGATATAACCAATATAAATCATTGGAATAAATACAGAAATGGGCTCCCGCAGTAGAGTGCAAGATGGTGCACTTGCATTACCATGAAAAAATTACAATTAACTTTTAAAAAAGTCGGAATTTTTATAAATTTTTAAGCTGGCTATGTTAATATTAATTATAATTTATAAACATTTAAATAATTTTTCAGTAAAAGTAGGGGAGACCAAAGATAGTGTGTTCCCGGGATAGGTATTTCCTTCTCGAATAATTTAAAATTAATAAAGTTTAAGTTTTGAAATTTAAGCCAAATATGTATTTTAATAAGGTGCTTGTAGGTCCAAAAAAGTTTCGGACAAAATTGCTCATGAAAAATTTTAAATGCAAATTTAAATTTCAACATACCCAAAGTAACTTTTTAAATTTTTACATTTTCACTAATAACTTTTTTTTATAAACGTTGTTTGGACCTAATATTAATTCTAAATGATAAAGAAATATATATTTTATTATATATAAATATTGACACAATTTATGGTAATTTAATATCTTAAAATTATATTTTAATTAATTGTGAAAACCTGGGGTAGGTTTTAGCGGGGTGCGTATTAGATATTTTTAAGCAGGGATTATTTTGAATAAAAAACATTCAACTAAATTTATAAAAACATAAGCCACTAGTTTGTCTAGGACCACTAGTGACAATATGAAGATGATTGACTTTTCATAAAACTTAGATTTTCATTTTTTTAAATTTCGTATTAATTAAAAACTAAAAGATTTTTTTCTTAAATATTAATTTCTACCGTAGAGATATATGTAAAGAATAAAATTACTTTAAAAAATTTTAGAAAAATTGCTTTGTCTATTTTTTATAGCACTTCAATTTTTTATGGCAAACTGTCCCCAATCTCCCCTATTTGATTATTCAATGATCACCTAAATTTAGATAATTTTTTCAATGTGGGGAATTTTTATTTTTTTTAACTATACCTTGGTTTTTATTATTGTAGATATTAGGTTTTATAAAGTTAAATCACTTAATTTATATTTACAAAATTAATTCCTACAATAACCATAAGAATTGCAGCGAAATCAAATGAAAAATAATTAAGCTCATATATAAAATACAATTAAAAATAAATAGTAATACTTAACAAACACACAACCTTAACATCCTCTAGAAGCAGGCTCTTAACCTAATCAAAAAGTTTGGCAGAACCTTATGAACTTAATCAGGAGACTCTAAAGAAGGTGTCTAACGTCAAAGCATAGAAATTCCTATTATAAAATCTAATTTCATATGTTTCATGGGAGCGGCCGGAATAATCTGGATCTTTTTCTTCTCTTAATTATTTAGAAATTTATTATTTTTTTCTTATTCTTTCTCAAATTAAGAAATATATGTACCTCTTTTCCCCCTCTTTTATATTCGCGATTATGATATATAAAATAGATACATTTATTATATTAAACAATTATATTATCTTTTTTCGACCAAACAATTATAATATAAAATATATTTTATGTGTAATATATATTAGATTGTATCATTTTTAAAAATTCGAATATTAATTGATACCGATATTGAACTTCTTATATTACTTAATGCTATTTTTTTAAATTGATCAGAAATAACAATAAGAAATATTGAAAAAAAAAATAATAAAACTTGATGGAAACACATGATGGCAAGCTAAGATTAAGAAAACTATTTTATTAAAATAAAAATGATTTTTTACATTATGATCCAATATATCTAAAATTTTAAGTTTATATAGTATTATAAAATAATATACATTTGAATATAAAATAAAATGAAATAAGAAATAAATAAGTAAAAATCGCGATATATTTTATTAAAGGTCATAAGTAGAAATCGCGATATATTTTATAAAAGGTCATAAGTAGAACTCGCGATATATTTTATAAAAGGTTATTCGAATATTATAATTATTTTAATTAATATTATAATTTATTTTAATAATATTATAATTTATTTAAATTAATTTTATATTATAATTATTTTATAATTTATTTTATTTAATATATTATTTTAATTAATATTAAAATGTCATATATTTAACATGTACAACATTCCCTTCTCAGAGAAATCCATTATATTTGTTTTCCGCGATCGTATTTGTTATAGCAATTAATTTCGGCATTTGTTATCACGAATTAGTCGTCGAGTTAATTTTTGTGTATCGATCTTTAGCGGCATATCTTTTAGAACTAAATCGTCATCATCTTGATCATCCGTATCGAAACTATTAACGTGTTGATTTGATATAGACATCATAATTTTTTTTTATTTGCATCATCGTGGTATTTACTTAGTTATCACAATTTGAGAGTAGTTTTTGTTATTATCATCAAGTTTATATTATTTAATTTCAATATTTATGAATATTTCTATTCAAAAAAATTTTAGTTTTCATATCATATTTTATTCATAAATTACGAATATCTAGTAAATCTTTATTTTGAATATCATCAAATTACGAATATCTATTAAATCTTTATTTTAAATATCATCAATTTACGAATATCTATTTAGATCTTTAATTTATTTTAAATATTTTATTTTTTAAATTATTTACTTTAAATTTTCTTTAACTTTCCCCTGCTTGAAAATCCTGAACCTGAGGTGGAACAGTTAGGTTTAATCAAAAATTATACCTGGTATTGTCTTTGGTCTTATATTTTACATATTTCGGTATTTTGGCATAAATATTATCATATCAGCACTATATTATTATTTTATCATATTGACACATTAAATTCATTCATTTTAATCTGAGTTAATATGAGAATCGTTTTTCGCCTGTGGTTGGTCTGCATTTTCGTCATCAACGTTAGCTTGAACATATCAGCCAAGAAATTTTTATCTTTGAATATTTCAATATCTAGTCTTAAATAGTTTTCATCTATAGCTTGCCAAGTGTCCATATGTTTTAATTTAAGTTTAATTTTTCATATTTAATTTTAAGTATCATTGATATATCAATCAGAAGATACCATCTTTTTTTTTAAATTTTTTTATGAAAACTATTTTATTAAAATAAAAATGATTTTTACATTTTATTTTTAAAAGTTTATTTATTATCTACTTCACTAAAATTTCGTTGAGTTTATATATTTTTTATAATAACTAATATGAATATCTACAAAGTTACAAAAAATATAAAAAATAAATAAGTCGTTTTTTAGTTAAGCAAATGATTTTAAGGTAAAACTTAACATTTTTTTTACGAAATTTAAGTTAACTAAAAAAATTTACACTTTGTTTGAATAAACCTTTAGTATAAAAAAAATGATAACAAAAAAAATTCATTATTTTGCATATCTTAACATTTCCCTCTTTTTAAAAAATCTTCCCCATCGTATTTGTCTATGCTTGTTTGTTGGATCATTACTCGTTGGTATTTCGCTATTTGATCGTTATCGTTCCAAATTTCCATTATTCGTCAATTGCTATCATCATCTATTCGTCAATTTTATCTTTGATCAAATTTCTAATATTTCGTCAATTTCAAAAAAAATTTCTTATACTTATATTTTATGTAAGTATTTTATAAAAAAAATTTATTTAATTTTTATTTATAATTAAAAATCTTTTTCGGTCTTATATAATATTTTTGATCTTGAACTTAATGTTGATTTTGTATTTGTTCTTCACTCCTTCCCCTTATAAAAACTTGTGTACTCGGTGTAGAATTTTTATTACTATTATTATAATTTATTTCTTTCATATCTGTTGCAATATTTTTATTTGGAATTATGTTCGTTGATCTCAGAGTTGTTAAGGAGCGGCGCTCCTGGAGCACAGACAGCTACATTTTTTCAAAAACACCTGAAAATTGGGGAGCGGGAGCTAGCTTCTTTTAGGGCTGGTGTGAAGGAGCGCCGCTCTACCGCTCATTTAAATTTAATGTATAAATTGATTTATTTTTTAAATATTAATTATATTTATTAATTAAAATTCAATATTTTATTTAATTTAAATTTATCCATTATTAAATGTTTAGCCTAGTTTTATATTGGTTTTTCATCTAATCATTTTAAATATTAAACATCAAGATTTCCTTTTTATATTGAAAATTTTTTGGAAAATCTTGTAAGTCATATTAATATTCATTTTATAGATGTATAATAAAAAATAGTTTTAGATATTATGGATTTAGAAGATAATATATTGGACAAATATTTTTTAAATAATGATACCAAAATTACTATTTTTGATAAATTCCCTGAATTAAAAAATATCTTTATAAAATACAATACCCCGCTTCCCTCTATGCTCCTGTGGAGTGCTTATTTAGTATTGCAAAACAGGACTTAGGGGAGAGGTGTGGATGTTTGTTAGATTCTAATTTAGAAAATTTATTACTTTTAAAAGTTAATATATTTTGATAGATCATTTAATATAAATAAAGCTTTTTGATAAAAAAAAATATGATTTTGTTTTGTAAATGAAAATCAAAGGAGCGGTTATGGAGTGGCACACCATTACTTAAAGCCGGAGCTAGCTCCTTTTAAAAATGTAGTAGCGGGAGCGGGAGCTAGCTACTTTTAAAAAGGAGCGTTAACAACTCTGGTTGATCTCTTTTTTATCTGGTCTAAATGTCATCTAATAATATTGTTTTCAGTATTTATTTTGTACGATAAGTTCCCATCTTTATGTGTTACGATTCCTTTGTCCCATATATTTTCTTTGAATGTTTTGTACCAAATTTTATCCGATATTTCTATTTTTTAATATTTTCCGATTTCATTATCTTCATCTTCAAGCGGTTTAATCAAGCCCCGCCAGGTTCTAATTGTTATTGAAAATATCAATTTGCTCGGTATCATGTTGGTTGTAGCGTTTGGAGTGTTTCGATAAAAAGTCTATTTTCATGTTATTTTCTTATTTCTTTTCATACTCATTTTCATAGATCTTACCATTCGTTCACATTGGCCATTAGATTGTTGGCGATGAGGAGCTGTAAGTATATGTTTAATTCCATGATCTTCACAAAATTTTTTGAATAGGTAGCTAGTGAAGTAGTTCCGTTATCAGTCACTATCTTTTGTGGTATGCCGAATAAGCTGATTATTTTCGTCAATTCTTTAATAGTTGATTCTTTTGTTATGTTTTTCATTCTTTTAATTATCGGAAACTTGCTATATGCGTCTACAAATACCATCCAATTAATTTCTTCAAATTTAGTAAAATATATGTGTACACGTTCAAAATTTTTGTTACTATTCCTCATGGATTTTGTATATTGTGTGGATTATCTGCCCATTTATTGCATGTATCACAATTTTTTACTTCTTAATCTATTTCTATGTTTATACCAGGCCACCATAAGTAATCTCTTGCTAATAGTTTGGTTTTACCAGCGCCTAGATTTTCTTTATGTAACTCTTGTAACATCTCATTTCTCATCTTTCGTGGTATTATGTTCCTATTTTCCTTAAAAAGGCAATCTTTTATCAAGCTCAATTCCATTTCCATATTTTTATAAGTTTTTTTCTTTATAAGTTCACTATTCCTAATATTGTCTATGATCTCCATTAATTCTTTATCCACACTTGTTTCCTTCACTATATTTTTGAAATTTACTGGTATGCCCCATATATTATCAACTTTTTCACTATCTATGTTTTAAATCATCTCTTCTTCTTTATTAACCTGTGGTATCTCGACAAACAATCTGGTATTATATTTCGTTTTCCAGGTCTATGAATTATCATAAAATCGTGAGCTCCCATCGCCAAATTCCATTTTTGAAATTTCGTCGATATAAAAGTGTTATCTTTTAGTCCTTTTGTAAAAATATTTTCGAGTGATGGTCTGTAATTATGTAAATTTTGTTCCAATGAGATATTTTTGAAATTTTTTATTGCATATACTATAGACAATGCTTCTCTTTCAATGTTCATGTAATTTATTTCTGATTTTAATGAAATTCTTGATGCTAACCCAATAAGTTTTTCTTTACCATCACCTTCAATGTGAAATAAAACAGCACCTAAACCTTTTTTCGAAGCGTCAGTTGCAATGCCTATAGGTAAATCTGGGTTGTAAAAATTTAGCGTTGGCTGAGTATATATTAACTTCTTCAAATCAAAGTTTTCTAATGTGTATTTTCTTATACCCATTTTTCTTTGTTGACTATCATATATAAAGGATCAGCTATGTATGCCAAGTTACATAAAAATTTTCGATAATAACTACCCATGCCCAAAAATGTAGCTAATTCCTCTTTTGTTTTGGGTTCAGGCATGTTTATGATAGCTTTTATTTTGTCTCCATTTGGATATATACTTTTATCGTCATTGTCGTGCCCCAAGAATTGTATTTCTTTTTTAAAAAATATATTGGTAAAATTAGGTATAAGTCCATATTTTAATATTTTGTCGAACACTTTTTTATATTGTTCAAATGAGCCTCTTCATCATCACCAGTTATAAGTAGATCATCGATGTAAAATATGACATCTTTCATATCCCCGAATATTTGATCCATAGTTTGTTAAAAAAATAGCTGACTAAGTTTTCAATCTAAAAGGAAGTCTTGTAAATTTGTAGTAACCCTTGTGCGTAGATATCGTGAGTAAATCTGAGATTCTTTATGTATTGATACTAGAAGGAAAGCGTTTTTGA